CGTGCTATAACTATAGTGTTAACACTAATCTAGTCGAATGCCTAGTCTATGCACGATCCTGTGTGTGAGCTCATATTCTTCCTCATGAATCGGCCTGATTGACCGGCCAATTTCCTTTCCCGATTTATGCCAAAAGTTTGTTTACTATGAAACCAAAATGACCTGCAAAGTTTGCTATTCTTTCCAACTTGCCAGCCCAACTGTAACAGCTCCTACGGAGGCCTTTCCTGAGGCTTTCACAAATTATCTGCTAATTAATTTACCCGGTGCTCACTGATCACTCATCCGTACCGAGTTACAACTTTACTAGGCCACTATGGGAAAGACTGGCCCATCCCAAGCTTTAACTATTATGCTAAGCAGTTGATGCAGAAGCTGACTGGCGAGTTACACAGGCAAACCCGATGGTTCGTCCAGCGACTCGAACCAGCGATGATGCTTGTGCACAAACAGAACTCTTTGTAAGTACATACGATAACAGGCAGTGAGCAAATACACCGAGACACACTTCTGAGCCCATTTCAACGGTTATGACGGTTCCATGTTTTCTGAAATGGGATGTTTGTTAAGTCTAATTTTTTGTGTGGACTTGCCTGTCGAGACAACTGGTTTACTTCTCGAGGCAGCCGTCCAGAACAGTTGCGCTTCAATTCTCTTTGTCTGCAAGCCTCCTTTTCTCTTGTCCACTACTTCACCCCTCTGCATCTTCTCCTTTCATTTCCGCCCACTTTCCAACTCCCCTCACTTCATCAGTGTCTTTCTGCTCATTCGCTTTCTCATATCTCGGTTCATCTCGAGATTATCCCAGAGACTTTGATTTCAAGGCCATGCCATTTAAGTCTCCCTCCTGTTTATACCCGAGAGTCTCTGAGCCCGGCCACCGTCTTCGGTCCTGTCAATGGCTACCTGGACGGATAAGAAAAGACAGGGCTCAAATGTGATATATATGTTTCTTGATCCTGCTTGCTTGCCCCCATGTACGTCCTGTCTACAGACGCTGTCACTATTAGGATCTACTACGTTGCTTCCTCTTTTGGTGCATCGAGCACGTCGACGACTGTGTAACCTAGCGAGACTCCACATACAGGTAAACGTATAAACAGACTTGCAAACATGGATATATACATATGCTAATATATTTTCTAGGTAAGTTCTATACTCCTAGGTGCTGGGATATAGTAGTGCCCTGATGGCCAACAGACCGAATGTTCAACAGGTATGTGTAGACAAATGATGGGCTATAAGTTTCTTTTGCCAAACTAATAGACAGACTATATATATATATATATATGTGTGTGTGTATATATATATATATATATATGTCTTCCAGGTGCATCCTTGCGCGTGGACACTCAGTGATTGTGCATCACTGCATGCGCATGTGTGAGAATGAGGCCTTATTCGCTTCTGCCTTCGCATCATAGGTTTGGGTTTGATGCTGCTACGCAGATGGTTGCCCGGCCGATGACCACAACCGGCGCGCACCCCGATCGTTTGTCTTCTCCCCTCACCGACTCGGACCGGTAAACCTCGTCTCCGTCTTCTTGCTCTACTTTGCTTTTTCTGTATGCCTCCTCCCTATTTCAGACTCGCCTGCTCGTTCTGTCCGAATTTCTCCTCCCATTAGCAAGAAGCCTGTCGTCTGTCAAAACCTATTAAGAATGCATTAGTCACATTAGCTGTGATCGTTCCTGCTCCATTCACCGCGCCCACTCCCGCCCACTTCGTCCACCCTCATCTCTGTTCTTCACTCTATTCGATATAGCCTCGTGCAGCCAACATCTCCATGACTTCTTCAGGGGCATCAACTAAAATTAGGCCGGCAGTCAGGGCCGTCAATAAATGGTCAGGCTGGGCGAGCAAACCAACATTAGGACGTGTGTTCAGGTAGAAAAACACACACACACACACACACACAAGTGTATGGAAATACGCACAAACTAGGGCCGAAGTCTCAGAAATAGCATTTGCCCTGGAGATAGGACTATTTCATACACCGTTTGTTAACACTGCCTTAGTCCCTAATGTACCCATGTATGCTCTTGCCTGCATGCAAAGCTGTTTGTTGAATGAGGCTGCCAAGAAATTCATTTATTCAAGTTTAACGAGCAAAATATTAGAACGAACAGACAAGGCCATAAGGCTGGATTCATATATCACACAGTAAGGATATACATTACACGACAAAATGATCATGATTGGTAGCCACGTAGCCTGGCTGTTCCTTAGAAAAGGCCAACTAGTAAAGTTGCAACTTATTTGATCTCTGCACAAAGTTTGATAGGTAAGTTTTATATAGGTAAGTTGGGGATTGTGTGAACGTAGACTCTAGGTAATCGTGACTTCATGGCATAATGCCTAATTGACCTGCTTATGGTAGTTAGGATTAACCCCAAGTTCAGCAAGAAATGCCAGATTGGTGTAGGTAAGAGCAGAAACAAGGTATCTTCTCCTTTCAAAACCAATGGCTATTTCTTGATCAAGTTTTGCTCCAATTCACACTGTCAGTTTAGTAATGAGAAAACAGCATCTAGATAAAAAGGATACTGATTAGCCTTATCACTAAACCTAGTGACGAACACAGAACAGTGTTTATTATTCCATAAGATTTCTAACTCTGGGGGGAACGAGGCCTAGATAGCAAGCCCTGAATGCATGTGACCTGAATTAGCTGAATTTATCTAGGAATATTAATTTTGGTTAATTAGTTCTTGGCTGAGGCTTGCAGAAGAAGTAACATTTCTTCGTTAACTTCCAAACGAAGTTTCTTAGATCCATTTCCTTTTAACAATGAATGGACACATTTGCTCATGTTGTGGGCTAGACATTGACAGTTGAAAATATATCAGTTGAGTGGTTTCCGCAGCATTAATAGATCCTGATTCTGAACCAGTCACTTTAGTTTGCTATATAAAAAAACATGAAAATGTATCGCAATAAGATTTATAAACCGGACTAAGTGAGCTATTAACGAGTGGAAGATTGATAATGATTTAATCGTATGGTAATGGTATCAGTCGTATTGGCGCAAAATACTGGACTCAGTCCCTTTGTCGATGCCGGTGTATGCTGGAGTAAAATACTCAATTCAATGAATGCTGACAGGCAAAGCCCATTATTTGTAAACAATAAACTCGAAATTCGATCGTAGATATGAAGGCCAATATGATGTGGCCTTCTGCTTGGTCGTAGTCTCCATTAGGTCTATAGTGTTGGTTTGACTTGGCTTCACAACTTGTTCGGAGCGTCAGGGATACCTTATGGAACGTACCTTGAAATCACAAATACTAAGGCAGAGGACTAGGTAATTTCCACAAGGTCTCCCTAAGGCTCCAGCCAAGGTGCAAAAACTAGGTCAAATCATGACAATAAACTCAGAAGTTAATTTGTGTTATGAACAATAAAAGTGGGCAGCTGTACCAGAATGGAAGATCTAGGTGGCTTTAACTCTGAATGCTGATTCCCCTTAGACGTCATCAAGATCAGTATTGACGTGAAGAGCAACAGGATACGGCTATTTATTTGGTTATAGTTTCCTTTCTTTGCGAAGCCTTCGTCATATTTCATTTTTTCGACTTGAATTATTAGAAGAGTTAAAGAAAGCACAACTTTATGTTTTCCTAGCGTTTCAGCTATATGTTAGTTCTGCATAGGATCAGTTAATAGATATAGTTAAAACTGTTTATTTGGCATTGTGGATGAAGGAATCAAAGGCAAGTTCTGAATCACAACTAGTTAGAATGAAGCAAATTTCTTATTCGCAAACACATTTAGTATCTTTAAAATTTCTACCAGAGGCGATGATGAACGAATTAGTCATTGAAATGACCTCTTTTTACCATGAGGAGTTAAATAATCTTATTCTTCAAGAGTGAGGTTTATTTATATCCAAAGGTTAAACCAATCAGTTAGGTCCTTCACGTTTCTTAAAACGTGTATTTTGCCCTGCTGGATACAATGAAGTAACATATTATTTGTATTGTTAGGAGGACTTTCATTTCATATGAAAGTGAATGAAGAAGGGATTCGTTGGTCGATCTCACTAGATGAGGACGGATGAATCTCGTTGTGCTGCAGCCGTTTGGCTTTTATACGATATTCATGTTGACAAGACTTCCTCCCCCGTTTCGGGTGAAAACGTGCCGAGCTTTCGTCCAGCATATTATTTGTACACGAAAGAAACAGACAAATGAAGCACTCAATGAGTAGTATTATTCTAAAAGTTTTCTGAGATTATGGGAAAAATCTCGCATAATGCAAAGTGGGAGCAATTACATTGACAGGCCTGCACCGTATTGGCGAGAAAGTTCGCCATAATCACATTATTTTAAATTTGGGAAGAAATACAAATACAAATATTAAGAGATGACATTTTATAGAAAAAGCACGTTATTCTAACAAGTGCATAGATAATTAAGAGAATAGGCCTTTTTAATTGTATAATATGCCAACTAGAAAAGGAGTATGTTGGAATACGGCTAAGCCACATCGTTGGGGCAAAGAATGTTCCAGGCTTTGATGATGCCCGTCTCGAAAGAAAGATCAGTGCTGATTCATTATAGTTACTGGACGCTGCGTTTTACACTCAAAATAATTAGCCCAAACCCGATTGAATATCTTCCTTTTGCTTTCAGTGAGACAAATGTGCAAATCCTTCTGTTGACATTTTCATGTGAAGCGACGTTCAATGGCATTCAATTGTGATAAGAATCTTCAGAACCTAGCTTTTCGTTGGGCATGATACATTCACAAAGACTTTACTTAAATACCTCGTACATAGTAATACGATCAAAGTGGGAATGAGTTTGAATTTACCCGCATTCTAGACACGTAGAGCGGTTTTAAGGATCACCACTACCACTGCATCTATAATAGGGAGCAATAAAATGAATCTTAGTCTGGCCACAATTTCGAAGTACTCCGAATGGTGACACGATTAAAAGATTATACCAACTTATTTTAATTGGAGGGGTGCCAATTTTATTGAAGAGTAGCAGCATTGTGGCATACTCGCACACAGTGGCTGGTGAATTTCGCATTGATTGACTAATGCAGTTCTCACCACGACTACATTTAAAGGTATAGGCATACATTGATGTCTATCCTCCATGCTATATATACTCACAGCAGAAGGTAGTTTTCATGAGTTTAGTATCACGAGAAGACAGATGACAATAAGTCGAACCATATTTACGCTGTATATACGAAGAATAACTGAGTTTATATGAATCTATTGATGTCAATTTGTTATGGAAACGTTCTACCATTAACTTTATGACGAAATGAAAGTCTAGGTAAATTTATTGAAACTAAGTAATTGATTGTACTTATTACATAAGTATGGTTTAACTTTTTCTCATCTGTCTTCTCACTATACTAAAACCAAGAATAATATCTTCCTTTATGCGTATATATTACTCATAGATAGAGCCTGATAGTCTTCTTGACATAGTGGTACCTAAAGCCTTTTGGAAGAATGAGTTTCAGCTATTACAATGTCTGCCATATGATGGACAAAAGCCTGGCACGTCTTCACCCAAAATGAGGTGGGATGGTGCGTGTACTGTGTCAGCCGGAACGTGGTATTAAACCTAAAGAAGTGCACAACAGCGGGTGAAATGGATCCATCATGCAATTTCACATGGAAGCCTCAACAAAATGATTGATTCTGTTCCGAATGGTTGCCATCAATTTCAGATATTTGTGACCCGAATTCCGCTAAGAGGCTGGGTCAACCTAAACTGGCTCAGACTAACGTGAAACCCGATTTAGTAAAAGCCCTGGCATTCATTTATATGTAAAAGTAGTAATAATATTTAGATTGCTTAAATTTTGTGTTTGTTAAACCACGAATATAAAAGGAGTTTACGAAATTCCATGATCGGAGCAAACTGGTGGCTAAATGGGTCAGAAAACTT